AATCCAGCAATTCCACTCCTAAGGACCCCAAAACAAAATACAGAAAAGACATCTGCACTCCAATATTCATTACAACGCTATTCACAATAATCAAAATCTGGAAACAACCCAAGGGCCCAAGAACAGATGACTGGATAAAGAAATTATGGTAGATATACACACAATGGGATTTCTTACTCAGCTGTAAGAAAACATAAGTCATAAAATTTGCTGGTACACGTTTGGGTAATTTGGAGAGTATCATGGTAAGTGAAATGAGTCAGAGGGAGAAGGGACAGACACAGAACGATCACACTCATTTGTGGGATATAAAGAAACACAGGAGAGGGGGCTGGAGTGATAGTACAGTGCCTAGGGTGTTTGCCTTATACGTGGTTGACCCAGGTTTGCTCCCTGGCACCCCGTATGGTTCCTCGAGCCTGCCAGGAGTGGCTGCTGAGCGCAGAGTCAGAAGTAAGCCCTGAGCATCACTGGGTTGGGCCCCCAAAACAAACAAGAAACACAGCAGGAAAATAATGCCCAAAGACAAGAGAAACACAGGGAAGGAGAACTGGTCCTTAGGAGGTCGCTTTCCACAGCTGGGAGAGGTGCATTGGGACAGGGAAGGGATCTCTATGACAGTGACAGGGGGAAGCTGTCACTCTAAAGGAGCACTGGGTGCTGAAAGGAGGTAAAGTGATATGCATGATATCTTTTCAGTAAAGTACTGCAAACTACAGTGCCCGAAGAGAAAAAGTACACGCTGGAGGGAGAGCCAGGCTGGAGGGCTAGAGGGAAAATGAGGGCACTGGGGGAGGAAAGTGAACTCTAGTGATGGTATTAAAGCTAGGAACACTGTACATCTGAAATTCAATCATGAATAACTTTGTCATTCACGGTGATTCAGTACATGGTTTTTTTTTTTCTTTTTGGGTCATACCCGGCAATGCACAGGAGCTACTCCTGGCTTTGCACTCAAGAACTACCCCTGGCGGTGCTCAGGCGACCATGTGGGATGCTGGGAATCGAACCCGGGTCGGCCACATGCAAGGCAAACGCCCTACCCGCTGAGCTATCACACCAGCCCCCACTTTTTTTTTTTAAAGGTACCTTCTCAGGGAGGCCCTGAATGATTTTTTTTCTCTTCAAAGGGAGCAGTAGGCCAAGTAAGTATGGAAATCTTTGACCTCAGATAGCACCACAGGCTCAAAAATGCAAAAGATACTATATTATATATTTTGAAACTATTTAGAGCAATATGTTTTATCTTTATCATTCATTGTTTTTGACATAACAATGTAAAATCACAGGTGAATATTTTAATAAGATCTATTTATCTAAATTAAATGCACCAACTTGATCTTTATTTTGTTTTTAGGCCACACCTGCAGGGGCTGAAGGGCTACTCCCAGCTCTTGCCTGTGCAAGGTCCTGAGTTCAATTCCGGCAATGCATGCACCCAACCCACCGTTGCTCTAGTGAGCTCACCCCTCCAGCTCTGCTAGGGTGGCCTTAATGACACCCAGCTCTGCTGGGCTAGAACATTAAGGTATCTGGCCTAGTTTTCTAGGTATTGTTAAGAGTGGGCCCATTTCTGAGCACTTCTTGGGAGGACTCCCAAAGATTCAAAATTTTAAAAGTAACTGGTGGGGCTGAAACGGTAGTACAGCGGGTAGGGCATTTTTGCCTTGCACGTGGCCGACCTGGGTTCGATTCCCAGCATCCCATATGGCCCCCTGAGCACTGCCAGAAGTAATTCCTGGGTGCAAAGCCAGGAGTAACCCTGGTGCATCACTGGGTGTGACCCCAAAAGCAAATAAATAAATAAATAAATAAGTAGATAAATAACTGGTGAGCATGTCAGTTCACTTCACTTCTCAGTGCTGATCTTGCATATGGCTGATCCTCCTTGTAGGAGAGGTCACACCTGGTGGTGCTCAGGGTTTCCTCCAGGGTTCACTCCTAGCAGTGCTCAGGGGACCACATGGGGTGCTAAGGATCAAATCAAATCCGATCAAATGCGTGCAAGGCAAGTGCGCTGCCTTCTGAACTACCTGTAGCCCCTATAGCTGATAAAATTGACAGTACGACACTCTCACTGTTAACTGAACCCATTTTTTTGTTTGTTTGTTTTTATTCTGGGGCCACAACTGGCAATGCTCTGGCCCTGCACTCAGGGATCACTCCTGGTGACGCTCAGGGACCAAAATGGGTCTGAGAGATTGAACCCAGGTCAGCCACATGCAAGGTAAGTGCCCTAACCACTGCACTATCACTCTGGCCCCTGAATTTATGGGTTTTAAGGGAAGACATTCTAGAGGCTAATGGGACTAATTCTAGATAAGAAATATAGAAGAATGAATACTGAAAATAAAAAGTGGAGGATGGCAAATATAACTTGAATTGAGCAGTTCTATTCACACAGACTTGATTGCCCCCAAATGCAGTGAAACACCCCAGCAGATAGTTTGCTCTAGACAGAAGACTAAAATAGCTCAAGTCCATTTACCCTTCCTATCTCTTGGTCTCCCCCTCAGGTTAGTAGATTCCAGATAGAAACCTCTGTCAAGAAGCATATCAGCCCCCCAGTCTGGCTGCCTTTTTCCTTGAAAAGTGAGTCTAGATTCTAAGTTCGACCTTTAACCTCTATCTTTCTTATCAGCTGTGGAAAAGGGGAAAATTTTCAAAGGAAGAATGGAGAGAAGGGCAAGCATGCAGGACTGGTTATCCACTGTAATTAGAAGTAGCATGATGGGGAATGAGCTAACTGTTTTTATAAAGTCAGCATTCAAAAATGCAAACCACCAGTAATTTGAATATTACAAAATTGTGCAGAATATAAGCACCGAAATAATTTTTCCATCCACAAAATTTTAGAGAAAATTACAGTATCAAAAAATATAAAATGGCAAGTTTGGCATATCCTCAGAGTAGAATATATTTTTTTTTAATTGGAAAATATTTTAAAACCAGTGGGTAGGCTTTAGACAGGATGTGATGCTGAAGACCATGTGGTATGTCCCTAAAATGGCCTCTGGTACTGAAAGAGACAAAATCACAAAAGTATTGATATACCATGATGGTAGGAAAAAGTTAGTGAAGCCCACTAACTTGGGATTTTAGAGCACTTGTCATAAATCATTACACAATGATTATTTATGTGTCCTTACCTCAGACTCCCAAATGAAAACGCACACCAAGTTTTCTGGTTCAAACTGAGAACAGCTTCATTCCACTCTTCCCAGCAAAAGTAGCTGAGGAGAGGATGCCACTTTCTAATAAACACAAGCAGGACTGGCTCATGTGACACTTTTCAGAACCATTTCTCTGCCCTTTCCAGAAGGGGCACTGGTTTATTTCCACCCCTACCTCTCTGGCTGTAGCAGACATTAAATCCTGACCACACAGATAGCACAAGAGGAGCTCAGGGCTTACTAGGTTACAGTCATGTTGACATATTTTGGCTCTCATAAAGTTCCCCCTTCATTGCTCAAGAGTAAAAAGGGTCAAACTGGAAGGCCCCTAGAAGGGCTCCCATCACTCAGAAACCACTTGTGGAACCTAAGGTTCACGGTAGCATACGGAGCCCCCTGGCCTACTGATCTAGAGCCAAACGCTGCCTTTTAATAGGGATTAATCAGGGTGGAAGCTCAGAGCATTCCCAGGGCAAATGAGGTGTCTAGCACTTGGTGAACTGGGAAGCACTATAAAAAGCATTAAGATAGGTTTACTGACTGCCTTCTCTGTGTGGGTGTGTTACCTGCAGCACGTCATTTAATCTTCACAACACCAGGTGAGGGAGTCAACATACACCCTCCTCCACGGAGGAGGGAAACTGAGGCTCAGAAAACTGAAGCCAGGGCCTCACTCCGCTCAGTTAAGTGACAATCAAGCCCTGTCCTCTGGTGAATCCAAGCCAAAGGAAACAATTTGGTGCGTTCTTCCAAGAATCCTGTCTTTCCAACAACACCAGTGACGGGGATCTCATGTGCAAAATACAGATTTTCCTCCATGGGGGCAATGGTCTCTTTCACTTAGGCCCAGAGAACCTGCAGAGAAATGTAACTGGGCCAGACGACGCCCTTTTTTGCCTGCTCTTTAGTTAGGAAAGGTTTGTGCTTTGAGGCAGGGCGTGTGCGCGCTTCGAGGCAGGGAGTGTGTGTGTGCGCGCGTATGTGTGTGTGTCTGTGTGTGTACTTGAGTCAGGGTGTGTGATGTGTGTGTGTCTGTGTGTGTACTTGAGTCAGGGTGTGTGAGAGTGTGTGTGAAGCCAAAGTGTGTGAGTGTATGTGTGTGTGTGAGAAGCCAAAGTGTGTGTGTGTGGTGTGTGTGTGTGTGTGTGTGTGTGTGTGTGGTGTGTGGCCGCGAAGCCAAAGTCCCAGCTTCCAAGCTGGTGCTGGGCGGGCTGCGGGGTGCCCACCTCGGGAGGACCCAGCCTGGCCGGGGAGGGGGGGAGGGCGGCTCCCAGCGGAATGGGGTGCGGGGGGTGGGGAAGGGCTCCTGGGGAAACGGGGCTCGGCGCCTCCCCTTCCGAAGAAGCCCCCCAAAACTGCGGATCGGCGGCCCACCGCCCCCTTCCCCCCCTCCCTCTCGCCAGCCACGCGGGGCCGGCACCTGAGCCAGGAGGAAGTTCAAAGGCGCGGGTGCGGGGGTGGGGGAGGAGCGCGCGCCCCGCCGCGCAGCCGGCGCGGGTCGTCCCAGGACCCGGCGGCCGGGAGTCACCTCGGGTCCCTCCGGGTCCCCGCGGGCCGGGCGCGGGCAAGCCCCGGGCTCGCGGCGGCGGCGCGGAGGGGCCGCGGGGTCGGTGCCCGCGAAACGGGAGAGCGGCGGCGCGGGGCGGCGCAGGACGGGGGTCCCCGGGGAGGCCGCGGGGGCAGAAAGCGCCCCCGCCGCGGGCCCGCGCCGAGGGTCCCGGGGCCGCGCGCCGGGGGGCGGCTCCGCGGGGGCCGGAGGAGGAGCCGCGGCAGCCCCGGCGGGGGCGTGAAGGAGCCTGGCGGGCGCGGGGGTCGCCGCTCACTCACCGGGTCCGGGGCCGAGGCCGAGGCCGGGCGCGGGCCGGGCCGCCAGCGCGAGCGCCGCGGCGGAGAGCAGGGCGAGGCGGGCGGCGGGCGGCGCCATGGGCCGTCAGTGCGGGGCCCCGGGGCGCGGCCCGGGGGAGAGGGGGCAGCGCCGGGAGCCGGGGGCGGCCATGGGAGCGGGACGCGGGGCCGGACGGTGGCCCCGCCCCGGCCGCCCGCCGCCCCGCCCCGGCCCGCCCTCCCCCGCGCCGCCGCCGCCGCCGCCCCGCGCGCCCGCGGCCCTCCCGGGGCTCCGCCGCCAGGCCTGGGGGCGGGGCCTCGACGCGCCCCGCCCCGCCCCGCCCCGCGCCTGCCACTCACGCCCGGGCCACGCCCAGCGCGGCTCACCTGGGCCCGCCCGGAGGCGCGCCGGCCGGCGCCCCGGGGGCGGGGCCAGCAGGTGAGGGGCGGGGCCCGGAGCCCCGCCTCCGAGTCCCCAGGCGGGCGTTGGACGCGGCCGGAGCCGGCCCGCGCCCAGGGTGACCCCGCTCCACCCTCTGTCGGGTCGTGACCCACACGCCGACCGGAACGCGGCGGTAATAGCCAGAACGATCGTTGGCAAACCGCTTCTCCTTGGCGTCCCAGCTAGAATTCAAGGTAACGGCAATCAGAAAAAAAAAATGTCCTCGAGTCGACCTGCCCGAGCTCACATCCCCCGCTCGCACACTGGAAAATACCGGGCGGGGCGGGTGTAAAGGAAGACTAGCTGCTCTTCAATCACTTTATCTATGCTAAAGGGGGCGACGACGCAGCCCTACGACTCCCGGGGGGCGTAGGCCACGGAGCCACGCGTGGCAGCCCACGCGCACGGCGTGGCTTTAGAGACTGTGCGTTCCTTGCACCTTCCCGATTCTTGCCACAGAGGGGGCATCCTGGTTCTGAAGCGGGACAAGTTGACGCCTCTGAGCCTGCGGAGTGCAGAAGGGGATTACCGAAAGGAATAACAACAAAAGGAATTAGGCAAGGCGCCCGGAGTCCCGTAGCGGATGGGGTGAGGGTGCACCTTTTAATGTTTTTTTTTCTTTTGGGGTCACACCTGGCGATGCACAGGGGCTACTCCTGGCTCTGCACTCAGGAGTTACTCCTGGCGGTGCTCGGGGGACCATATGGGATGCTGGGAATCGAACCCAGGTCAGCCGCGTGCAAGGCTAATGTCCTAACGGCTGTGCTATCTCTCCAGCCCCCTTAATGTTTTTTTTTGGGGGGAGGGTTGGAGGGGGACACGCCCGGCGATGCTCAGGGACTACCCCTGGCCCTGCGCTCAGGAATCACTCCCGGCGGTGCACGTGGGATGTCGGGGATCGAATCCGGGTCCGCTGCGGGCCAGGCGAGCGCCCTCCCCGCGGTACCCGGGCTCAGGCCCCGGGATGCGTCTCCACCGACGGGGATGCGGGGCCTCCGAGGCGCGTGATTCGCTGAACCCCCTCCGCCCCGCCGAGGTCTTCCCGGGCCGCGCCGCTCTCGGGGCCGTCGGGGGTGTCCCCCCTCCCCCGCACCCCCGGGGCTCCCGCCTCTAGCGCCGCGGTGACGCCCCGCGGGGCAGGTCCGGGCGGCGTGTTCGGCGCTTTCAAGTCCCGGGTCCCGCGGCTGCAAGTGTGGGCCTGCGCCTGGCGCGGTCGAGGGAACGTCTGCCCTCGCGTGCCGACTCGCCGCGCCCTGGCCGGGCGCTCCCGCACCCGGTGGCTCCGGCCCGCCTTCCGCGCTCCAGCCCCTGCGCCCCGCGCCCCCCGCGCCGGGATCCGCCCACTCGCCCCCTCCCAAGACCTGCCCCCCACACACACACACCCCAGCTGCTCCGGGGCTGGGCCCCCAAGAGCAGCTACCTCCCTCGAGGCCTCTCAGTCTGTCCCTCTCCACCCACACCATGGAGCGGCATGAAGAATCTTGTTCAGGGATTGTTTTCACGTTGTCATTCTCGACTTCAGGAATCCTCCGGGCACCTGATTGCAGCAGGGAAACCTCCCCCCACTCCACACACACACACGTGCCCCGCACCCCCACCCGGCCGCGACTCCCAGTCCCTGCGCACACCTTCTCCATCCCACCTGGATTCTCCCATTCTTGCTCAGTTTCCTTTCTTCACCGGTTACTGGTTCCCTCCCGGTCCTTTTCTTGCAGGACGCAGAAACTCACTTGCACCCTCACAGGCAGAAGCACTTTCAGAGACGTTGTGATGAGATTTGATGCTGGAGGCACAACGGTGCGGGGAGGGAAGGGGTGGAACAGAGTGAGCACCTAACACTGGTGAAAATTCCTCTCTCCGAGAAGTACTTAGGGGAGAGATGGTACAATGGGTAAGGCATGGGGGGGGGGGGTTGGGAAGGGGAGGGAGGAAAGAGGAAGGAAGGGAGGGAGGGAGAAAGGAAGGGGAAAAGGAGGAGGGAAGAAAGGAGGAAGGGAGGGAGGAGAAGGTAAGAAGCGAAGAGAAAGGGGAACATGCCAAGTGTACCATCAGACAAAGTGGCCTCATTCCTCCCAGGAGAATAGTAGAGGGACAGGTCGGTTCACCAATATGAAAAAAAGGGGTGGATTTCAAAGAGCAAAAAGTGTGCCAAAGACCAAGAAACTGCTTTGTTGACAAAAGAATGATACCTGGAATCCCTTACATAGAGAGTTGGGGAAAGAGTGTAGCGAGGCCTATGTCTCCAAAGTCTGATATCTCTCGACAGTTTTTATTTTATTTTTTTTAATTTTTGCCTTTTGGGTCACACCCGGCAATGCTCAGGGGTTACTCCTGGCTCTGCACTCAGGAATCACTCCTGGCAGTGCTCAGGGGACCATATGGGATGCTGGGAATCAAACGCGGGTCGGCCGCGTGCAAGGCAAACGTCCTACCCGTGCTATTGTGCTATTGCTCCAGCCCCTCTCAACAGTTTTTAAATATTCATTCACATCTCGCCCATATTGATATCGGAAATAGAAAAAGGCAGGCCAAGATTAAATTGAAGTGAAAACAAGGCCTCCCATTGGCTAGGTCGTGGGTTCATGCTTCCTGAGAGTAGCCAGGGTCTGTCTTTCCTGGACCCCTGCAGGAAGGTGCCCCAGCCGGGTGGATGGAGCCTCCTCCCTTCACTGACTCTGTTACATGTGTGCACAGCCCAGGCAAACTCTTCCTTTGCAGCATAATTGCCAGGATCCGGTGAGAAGTGGCAATGTGGGAAAATTGATTCGAAATTATGAAGAATTTCGGGATGGAGACAAGCTAGCATTAAACCTAGCATGGGGGCCTTCTAACTCGGGGACTTGTATAGCTTTACGCATCACGCCTCTGCCTGTGACGCTGGCCAGTACACAGAACCGAGACTGTGCCCCCTGCCCCCACTGATGTTATGAGATATACCCCGTTGGCCTTCCCCATTCCCTCCCCTCTTTCTCCAGCTTAAAGCTCAGCACAGGTGATGGAAAGAGCGTCCGGTCACTAAAAATAGAGTTGAGCCGGTCTAGGTCAGGGCACTCAGGGCCTCAAGGTCTTTCGCTCAGTGATGTGGTCTCAGCTCTGGCAAGGAGCAGCCCGAACTATCCATTTCAATGCTTCTCATGCCTCAGTCATTTAGCAGCTTGATTTCATGGAAAGAGTGAGGGCATTGGCAGTTCCTGAGTCTCCAGGAAGATGCGGGTATGTGTCTGTCCGTCTGTCTGCTTGCTTACAGTGTGTGGTTTGGCCTTTCAGTGCCTCCCAGGGCAGCTGGATTTGCCAATAAGCGGAAAAAGCTGGTAGATGAGCTGATCGGTAAATCTTTGAAATTCTAGTTTGGAATAATTTTTACTCAGGGAGAGCACTAGTTTAGGAGTCTAGTGATGATAATCAGAACAAGCATAGCAAATATTGACCAAGGCCGTTCCTGAACTGCAGGCAAGGTGAAGTGTTTGCCTCTGCTCTTCACACAGTGCTCTCTAAAAGGAGGCACTCTCCCACCCCCCTAAATTAAAGAACAGAATGGTTTGCCCAAAGGTCACACGGAAGGGAAGCTGGGCTTTGTAGCCAGGCACTGCGACCCCAGAACTGCACACAGGCTTAGTCACACCGCAGTGACCTGCCTCCTTGTCCTTACAGAGTTGGGACGTTTGCTAAGTGACCAGGGGCCAGGATTCTGGTGACGCAAGCAGGGCATTCACTCAGACACAAACGGGTAAGGGATCCCCAAACACCCAGAAATTATATAACATTATATTACTGGGTACAGCAGGTAAGGTGTATACCTTTAACACGGCCAAATTGGGTTCGATCTCTGGTACCCCATGTCATTCCCCAAGCTTTACCAGAAAAGATTCCTAAGCATAGATCTAGGAGTAAGCCCCGAGCACTGCTGGGTATGCTCCCAAAACCAACCAAATATATATATATATATATATATATATATATATTTACACACACATATATATGTATTATGTGTAATATATTATGTATAATATATGTGTCACTGTCATGGTCACGGTCCTCCTGTTGTTCATCAATTTGCTCAAGGGGGCCCAGTAACGTCTCCATCGTGAGACTTGTTGTTACTATGTTTGGCATATTGAGTACATCATGGATAAAGCTACCCAGGCTTTGCCATGCAGGCGAGATACTCTCAGTAGCTTGCTGGGCTCTCCGAGAGGGGAGGAGGAATCGAACCCAGCTTGCCGGGCCAGCTGTGCAAACGCCCTACAACTGCTATTGCTCCAGCCCAATATATGTGTATATGTGTATATTATATGAATATATTTCTTAATACATTAAATATATACTAAGCCTATTTAATAAACTGTTTAAGGCAATATATTATCCTATTTCTTTTCTTTTTAGCATTTTTGGGGTCACACCCACAGTGCTCTGTACCTTGCAATGCCCACAGTTGAACCCCGGGTTTAATACATAGAAGGCACAATGCTACAACTTGAGCCTCATCCTAATGTAAAATATTATATTAGGATTGTATTTATAATATCCCTAGTATAACATTTCATTTTGATTTCACTTTCATTTTAAGTTTTGGGGCCACACCCGGTGGTGGTGATTAGGGCTTTCACTCCTCACTGGGCTTGGGGAACCCTCCAAAAACAGAACCAATATTTCTGTGGGTTTTTTTTCTTAAACTTAAAACTGGGCTCAGCATGTATCTTTGCTGGTCCTCTCCACAGGTTTCTGGGTCAGGCAGCCAGTGATGGAAAACTCAAGAGAAGCCGTAGTTTATTCTGATGGTAGTGGAAGGAGAGAAAGAATTTGGTTTTGCACATTATGGGCAAGAAGCGCCCATAGGACATCCAGGCAACCAGATCTGAGAACTGAGTTAGGTGAGAAGGGGTGACCAGCAGCCTGGACCCCCGTAGTTCCTCTCTGGCGCCTGCACTAGGTGGGTATGCAGTACATGTGGTCTAAATCATTGGCGCTCTGAGCCTACATCATGGCTCAGGAATTTTTTCAAATTCTCTCATCCAGTTTTTCTCTTTTTCCCTAAATCTTCTACATCATGAACCTCAGAGATGTTCCCATATGGGTGTGGAAGTTTTCTGCTTGGGTGTTAAAGTAAAAACATCTGAGGAAATTCAAAACAAGTATATTTCATTTGCATTTGGGGCTAAAATGAAAATTAATATAAAGGGGCACTGTTGACTCTTTAGTTAACCGATCTTCCAGGAAGAGAATGGGAGAAGTAACAGAGAAAAAAGTAGTTTTAAAGAAAGGAAAAAAAATTAAAGTACAACTCGAAGGAACTAAAAATACAGTGAGGAGAGTTTGGCTAAGCATCAAAGAAAGGCAGACGTGTTTCCAAATAGAAGGGTGGTTTAGATCTGTCAGGAAGCACAGTTCCAAATGATGAACAAATGATGGATGGAAAATGAAGGCTATTTAGACGGAGCTCAGTAGAATAAAAAAGGTCCATTGAAGAATCAAAATGAGGAGCAGGCTTTATAGTAACATGGAAGCTCTTTTGTCCCAGCCCAAGTTCTCTGGATCAAGTGATGAAATCAGGGATGAAAATGCTTGCTGAGGAGGCTAGAGAGATAATAGAACAGAGATAGGAATGCGTTTGCCTTGTGTCCTGTTCACCTGCCTTTGATCTCCAGCACTGCATTGCATATGGTCACCTGAACCCTGCCAGCAGTGACTCCTGAGCACAGAGCCAGGAGTAAGCCCTGAGCACACCACTAAGGTGTGGTTCAGAGACCAAAATTTAAAAAAAAAAAGGAAATAGGGGCCATGGCAATAGTACGGTGAACTTGCCTTGTGCACAGCCAACCCAGGTACCCCATATGATTCCCTGAACCCCGCCACAAGTGATCCCTGAGTGCAGAGCTAGAAGGGAGTCCTGAGCATTGCTGGGTGTGACCCTCCTCCAAATAATTAAAGCTAAAGAAAAGAAAAGAAGAAAACTAAAAAGCAAACAAATGCTTGCCATAGTTTTAGAACTCCAGGCCAAAGAGTATTTGCATTCTGATTTATAGTTGGATTAGTTTTTAATTTTTAATTTTATTTTCAGAAGATTGTTCACATTAATGGATTGCATTCAGTATTTCAACACTAATCCCACCATCACCATTACACCTTCCCACCACCATTATTTCGAATTTTCCCACCGCTATTCAAGCCTGCTTGCCACAGGCAGATGCTA